TGGCATCATTTATTGGCCGGCACCTGCTAGAAGACTCTAGCAGGTGCCGGCCAATAGGAAACAGTTGGGTGGAGTTAGCTGTCACTGCAAGCTCCGCCCAATTGTTTTCTTTTTTACATTTCTTTTTTAAAATGTTTTTCCTTTTTTTTACCGTATTTACATATACGTTTTAAAAAATATTTTTTCAACATATTTTTTTTTACTCTTTTCATTGAATTGCTATTCATTCACTGCTGTTCGGCCTCTATGTAAATAGAGGAGAAGGACAACGAGTGAGCTGCCGGAGCTTCGGCTCAGTCGATTCAGATGTGGGATCGGTTGAGTTGAAGTCCTTCTTCACTACTTCTGAAATCAGCTGAACTGAGCACTTCATTTCGGCTGGGTTATTCACTCGGCTGCCTCCGGCAGCTTTGTGAATAACTCCCTTAGTCTTTTTCTTCTATGTACCTATGTTACTCGGTCACTAAAGATAATAGACATTATGTGGTGGTCATATACATGGTCAAGACAAAGTGACTGCAAATAATTTTTTTTATATAACTATTCACTATCACAACTCACTCTACATGCTAAAATCTATAGAGAACAGGATAGGAGGACACCAGTGTCACTGCCTAGATTTGTTTTATAGAGACCATGTGAACCAGGACTGAACTGAATGTCAGCAATCTTGTCTCATGACAGGTCAATATGGAGACTGCCAGGTTCTTTAAATCAGACTTTGAGGAGAACGGCTCTATGGACAATGTGTGCCTCTTTCTGAATCTGGCCAACGACCCAACGTAAGTACATGGAAATGGTGAAGCATTTTTTCACACTGAGGTTGTGCTTTAAACTAACAGGTCCCATAAGCTTTTGGGCAGTTATAAAAAAAAAACATAGGTTTTAAAAGCCCCATTTTCCTTCCCAGGAGACCACAATGCCATAAATGAAACACCACAGTCCTGAATAAGAGAAGCTTTAAGTAGAACTGTGGCCAAGCTATGGAGATTTAATTATCTACTGTACAGTATATATTCTTAACAAGCTGCAGGCACTGTAAAGCAATTCATCCTTATAATCCACAACAGAAGCAGTGAAGTTCTTCAAGTTGGATCTCCGAACTCTGCTTTCTCCTCTTTCCCTTCTTGTTAAGAACATATACTGTACAGTAGATAGCTTGGCCACAGTTCTACTTGTGTTTACATTAGAGCAATCTGTCTCAAACAGGGTTCCTTTAAAGGTTGCCAGGGCAATTTTTGCTTCTAGGATACGTGATCACTGATACAAATCATGTTTAGCTACCTGTAATGGGGGGCATTCCTCACACTGATCATTACTTTAGAAGTATACCTTTCACTGACCATTACTGTAGGCAGCATTCTTCAATTTGACTACCAATGTAAGGAGCACTTTTCCCGCTGCCAAATACTGTATGCAGCAATCATCCCATTGACCACCAATGTGAGGAATATTCTTCCCACTGGCCACCAATCTAAGGAGCATTCTCCCCACTATCCACTAATGTAAGGGGTCCTTGCTCCATTAACCACCATTTTAAGGGGCCCTTTTTCACTGACCACCAGTATAAGAGTATCTAATTTCATTATTAATATTGAAAATAGTTCTGGTCAAGGTGTTGATATAATAATTATTAGCAGAGGTTCCATGACACATGAAAGTTATTACAAGGTTTCCACTTTGTTAAAAATGTTGAAAAAAGCTGCATTAAAGACTAGAAGGCTGACAGGCTACCAAGTCACTGCTGGTGGGGGAACAGAATGATCCACTGAGAGAATATTAAAGTGAAAGTGTTTTTGTTAAAAATGTTGAGGATAAATTGCTCATCTGCCTGCAGTTGCAGAGGTCAGTGAGGGCTTGTGTTTAAGTTTGTGAACTGCTTGTTAAGAGTGTTTAAAAATGTTAAAGGCCATAAGCTGACCACGGTTCTACTTTAGGTGTGAGGAATAAGTGTTCAGTTTCAAGTGTCAGGGGGTGTATTGTAACCCTTTTTAAACACCTGGGTTCGGCACCAGTAGCCCCAAGCCAGGTGTTGGTTGGTGCTGACACCCAATGTACCGGATATACTGTATATCTGTAATTCTGAAATCACAAACCTCACTGCATGAAAGAGGTCAGTTCACATTCAGGTAATTCCCATATTTCAGATCAG